CTAAAGTTGACCAATGCTTACACTTTGTTGCTTCAATGAGCTTGACGCAATAAAAATAGCATGGCGTTTCTACAATTCAACAATTCTTTTTCTTATTTATAATACGTACTCTCAACAATAGAGATATCACTTCTGTCTGAATATGCAGTAAATAATAAACATGTTATCGATTTTGAAAATGCGTGTGTTTTAGACACCGAAAAGCAATAATACAAACGTAGATTTGCGGAGATAATCATCTTTATAATATTAAAAACGGTGAAAACCGGCAATTGGATAGGTTGAAATTAAAGAATCGTTATGAAACCACTGTAGACATCATTAACATTGTGTCCAACTGTGCAAAACAATGAAACAAGCAAATTCGTGCTGTCTGAGACCAAAAAGGTAACAGAGTAGCATGCACGGTAACCTTTAAATGAATACGCTCCCTGATACGCAGACAATTCGCATAGAAATATCCCCTGCGGTGCCGCGAAATTCCTAATCGTGAAAATTGATGACAAACGCAACGTCCACGAGATCCTTTGTTTCTCATTACAACACTTTCCAGGTGGAATTACTAAAAAATTACTTATTAATATAAGTTCACTTAATTAATTAACACGATAATCAATCGTTTTCGTATCTTTTCTATATCTCACAGTCACATAAAAGTATTAATATCTCACTTACACACAGTAGATAAAAACATTTTTGGACTCTGATTACGAGCTGACGCCAGGCTACGTAAAATTTAGATTGTCATTTTCATCACTTGCACGATAAACTAATTTAACAAGCCATGAGCTATTGTTATTTACCGCTTACGCTGAAAACCTCCGACTTTAAGTCACCTACACCTACACAGCTGCCGTCGGAGGCTAGAACGAATTGCGCAAACGTGCAATCATGGTTAAAATTAGCCTTCAATACTGAAGTAAACACTAAAATTAATGATGATACATTTTGGGCATATTGGAAAATCTATATTTATAATCGACGTTAATATTTTGTAAGGAATACTTAGAAATAAATAAAAAGTCATTCAAGGTGCAAACCACGTCTTTTCTGTCTCATCAGCTTTTATATTCGCTATTTTTATATGAGAATTGTCCATTGTCATTTGGAACGTTGGATGAAAGTCTGGCATCTTTTGCATCTACTTTAGCCCCCCTATATTAGCAGGAATTTCACGGTTGTAATAATCAAGACACCTTCCGTAAAATGTAACACGAATTCTCGTTCAATTCACAAAATGTTCCAACGTGAGAATCGATCATTACTTTCGATCATTCGACATCAGGTACCGTTTTCGTTTCCTGTGGATCCTATAAATCGATATTGGCTATATATATATATATATATATATATCGATATAGCATATTGTAATAATAAAATGTAATTAAACTTCGAAAACATGTCTTTTCTAATGGTACAAAACTCTGATTAAATCGATTAAAATACGCTGCTAAGTTTTAACAATAAGCTTTCTCTGATAATGTTATTATTTTTATAAATGGAATGTTCAACTTATACATTCGATTTATATGTTCGATCTACTATTGATTACGGATCTTTCATATATTATCCTGTACAAAAGCTAAGGAAAGAAAAGTTAGAACGAATACAGTTCTCTGCTATACGCATGGCACTAGTGATGAGAATGAGCACCCCTACCAACGTACTTCTGGGAGAATCTAAATTGATGATGTTAGAACATCGGGCAATGATGCTATGCATAAACTTCCTACTCAAAGCTGTTAGTATTAAGCACTCTCTTGTGAATGAAACCATCAAAATGTATTTACCCAGCATAATTGAGGATAGAAGGAAAAAAATTACAACACTCAATTATTGTATCATGAGAGTTATTAGCGTTGAACACTTGATTGACTGTGACCTGCATCCTACTCTGTATAATTATAAATATAACATAATGAAGACTCCAATCCCGACTGATTACGATATAGGAAAATCGATACAAAAATGCACTAACCCTAACGCCATGTTCAACCAGCTATTCAATTCCTCAGGTTCCTTATATATTTTCACTGATGGAAGTAAAAACCACTCGGGATAATCTGTCGGTACTGCCTGTGTATGCCCAGAGTTAAATGCTCTGTTTACTAGGAGTATAATACCCAAAGCTTCAATTTATGCATGGCCCTAACAGATGCATTGGATGTTGCTCTAAAGAATGAGAATATGAATAGAGATTTTTATATTTTCACCGACTCACTTAGCGCTGTTTTAGCACTGACTTACCCTAAAAATCAAGTTAATAGTAATCGATACATACTTGAAATCCGTAATAAATACTGTGAATTCATGAAAAACAGAAAAAGTAAGGTTGAAATTAAGATTTTTTGGATTCCTTCTCATGTAGGTATTACAGGGAATGAAATCACTGATCAACACGCTAAAATAGCCACAGAGCAACGTCCAACGACCTTATCTGTGCCATATACTGATTTCAAATCAATGTACAAAATCACGCAAACAACCAAACCATGAAAACCATCAAGAACCAAGGAATGAACAAAGGGCAATATTATTTTCAGCGATACTACCATCAAACTACAAAACCTTGGTACATGAAAAGCTTTCTTAAGCGGAATGATATCGTTACAATTTGTAGGTGCAGAAGCAATCATATTAATTTGAACGAATCGCTAGCCAAGATAAAAGTTATAGAGGACCCAAGATGTGAGTGCCTAAGCGAGGTTCAGGATCTCAATCATGTCATATGGCAATGCCCAATGCACGAAAAGTAAAGAAAATGGTTGATAACGGTTTTAGCCAAAAACAAGCATTTTCTTCCTCTCGATATAAAATGTTTCCTAAGCGCCCCCGACATCAACGTTATTCAATTAGTCTGTAGATTCTTTGAAAAAAGTAATATTAAAGTATAAGCTCCACAGTGTACACAGAGACCTATTTGACTTATGTATTCTTATATATAGTCACTATACTTCCGTATTATTATCGTTATTATTATTATTCTTTATTATATATATATTTTCTGTAAATAGCTAAATAACCTTATAATGAGAGTTAATAAAGCTTGATTATAAAAAAAATTGTAATTAAGTAATTCCGTATTTAAATAATTTTGTATAGCAAATAAATCTTTATGAAGATTTAAAGCTTGATAATAAAAAAAAACTTATACATTTTTTTTTTCATAATTTATTCGTATTTTATAAGTTATTCTTTTTATTATACTGATTTTTGTGTGATAGAACACTTTCTTGTAATATCGAATTTCGATAATCACTTTGCATAGTTTTTTGTGTAAATATGTTATCTTTCTTGTAGCCTTTCTTATATGTCAATGCAAGTGGTTTTCTTAGTTATTATTACTTTGTCTTCAACATGAATTACTCTAAAGTTACACCAATAGCTATGCTGAGTCCTTATGTTTACCAAAGGTCATGTTCATTCTTTCAATTTTTATTTTTATTTTAAATTTTTATTCAGTTTATTTAGTGGTATTTCATTCAAGCAAAACTATTTTAGCCAAGATTATTTAAAAAAAAAATAAACATTCTAAAAAATAGGGTAATTATTTTCACGACACTGTCAACTTATTTTTAATTATCAATTAAACCAAGCCTTCCAAATACAAATTTGTTCGAGCGGGAAATCCTTGACTGCAGATGCACGAATCTAAACTGCATTAAATTCCGACCATCGTTACAATATATAAAAAATATTCATTTTTTTTTATAATTTTATAAAAAAATTTTAGTGAAAATTAAAATATTTCAAAACCTTATGACCATATTAATCTGTACAACGAAATTGCATTATAGGTTACAATAAGCAAGGTCTATGCCAATTTTCAGACAAATCTAATAAAAATTGGAAAAGTTATGATCTGAAATTTTCAGGAAGATTCACTTGTTACATAAAACGACTTCAATTAAATTTTTAGAAATACTCATGGATAATTTCAAAAGCTATGATTTTTTTTAATGAAAATTTTCTATTTTTATATAACTTTTCTTTAAAGCAGTTAGAAAAGCCATTTTTATTTTAAATCAACGAAAAATTAAAACACTCTAGGTTGCGTTATAAAATATACAAAATTTTATATGCAACACCGAAAAAAACTGAAAAAGAAATTTTCATAAATAAAAAATATACAATCTCGAATTTAAACTAGATTTTTGTTCGAAAACTCGTAATTCTAAGTTTGTACCCTTCATAATTTAAAAACACACCGAACGAGCAACTATACGATGAATTTCGTTGCATAGAATTTGAGTTATCAATGCCGACTAAATACACAACATAGACACACACTTACAGACATTTCTCAAAAATGGTTTATTATACTTCTAGTACCTTGAAACATATTTCTATGATGTTTTTAAGCAAACTTTTTTTTCATTAAACCAGAGCTTTCTCTATGAGGAAGCAAAAATATCGGGTGAAAAGCAATAACTTCTGCTTTATCAAATCGACAAAAAGTTAAAAAACAGCTCCTAATTCACTTAACGCGTAGGCTATAAACAAGCATGCTTCAAACCGATTATCAACAGAACGAGATTAAGGTGAATCGATTGAGTTATGTACCCGCTTCGAATTGTCTATTTATACTCTTATGTTCGTGATAGTATGAAGCTTTGATTATACTTACACAGTCTGGTTATATACACTAACCTATTTATTATTATTTTCTATGTTCATTTTTAAACCTTCATCTGTTCTGTGGTTTATATTAGCTTTTCTTCTTAGTCACTAAGTTGTCATACTGGTATCATTCACTCTTTTAATTATAAATATACTGTTAATCACTGAAATTTGTTCATATTCCACTTGCTATATAAAATTAAACTATATAAGTAGACTTATATTTATTCATCTAGTTAATCGTTCTATAACATATGTTATTTTCGATTATAAACATAATCAATACAATATCAATAACTATTTATACCATTACCGCGACACCCTAATGCTGCGAACCGCTGGCGACGGTCACAGGACTAGGTATAGTGGAATACTAGAATACGGACTACGAACGCGAAGTCTAAATGGTATTTGGAATGGGAGTTGTAAAAAGAATTTTATTTTAGAAGTCATAATTACTACTGTAATAATAGTCTTAACAAATCTCGAAACCGCGTGGACATACAGGTATCCTTTATATTGAATTTTAACTTGTAGTTCACTATTATTTCGTATTTTGAGAGGTTAATTTTTTTCAACTAACCTTTTTTATATTTTTTTTCAAATGTCATGGTTTTAGCCATGATCTGATAGTCTTAATGACAATGGAATAATAAAATCGTTTGTTTAATCGTATAAGATTATGTATTTACAAGTTGATTATCATTCATTTTTCAAAATGGCTTTTTTTAAGGTTTAATGAGAATATTGCTCATCTAGAACCCATCTTTTTCATCAAAATATGACTGAGAATCAAACAACTTCATTTAGTATTATACAAAGGATATTTAGTAACTGGACTGCGCTGAGGATGACGGTGGAACATGGCAATGGTTCCATCGATGCTGCACATAGCTTCTGTGAGTACATTGATAAAACTTTATCAATGAACGAAAAGCTGCATTATACAGATATTTCTGAAGTGTTAGAGGATGTTTTGGATGAGGATTTTAATACAAGAGTTGAAGATGATAGTGAAAAGGAGGTTGCTCGTGATATTCTTCGATTTCACAATTATATCACAACAAATGATATGGTGACATTGACAAATGAACTACAAAAGCTACCTCCTCTTCAGCCTTGGATCATTCCAAAGTTTAAATTTCTTTGCACTGCCAAATTGGAGGGTAACAGCAATGGTAATAATGAGAATAAAAATAATTTGGATGGAATAATAGGTGATAGTGAAGCTGTCAAGTCTAATAGTGACATGGAAGTTGATAGCGAAGGATGGTCTGTAATACAAAGAAGAAAAAAGTAATAGTTTCTAGTACTTTCATTAGTTTTTTCAGTTTCATACACCATTTTGTAAATATGTAATTATTTATACAACTATGAGGTAAAATTATTATTTTATAGACGTAAGATAATGGATGACGATTAACGTTTAATATTAAACTTTACAGTAACAATTAAAACTTGTTATTTGATGCAATGTAATATTTATAAATTGTAATGTAAATGACGCTCTGAAAATAGTATAAAAATACAAGAAAAATAATTGCTGCGATTGAACAACATTTTGGTTAGAAAGAGTAAATAAATATGATAGCTCGTTAACTTCAAGTCTAAATAAATTCATTCGCAACAAGATTCCGCAATCCCACGTGCATACGATCCAAGTCTGTGCGCATGCGCGGAAATTCCAGCTGTTATCGAAGCCGAAGAGCTGGCGCAAGGCCATGCCTCCCACCTGCGAACGTACAAGGAGCCCGCGCTTCTATCGGGAGAACACGTTGAGAAGAAGTGGTATGAGCGGTTACCTCCATCGCACACATGTTCTCTTACCACGCAGACCACGTGTTCTGACGAGGCATTGATTTGCAAATCTCGCGTGGCTTGATTCGTGATGTGCCTTTTCGCCGGTATACTGTTTATATCGCGATACCTCTTCCAGCATTCTATTTGCCGGAGACCAACGAGTTCAGTTTAGAATGCACGTGGTCGCCTCGCGGTCAAATATCTCGACAGATTCGCTCTGCTTACTTGGTTTGTTTAGGCGGCCGTGTAGGTATGAACATACACGGCTAACAAAGTATGGTACTAATTTTATTCACTTTGACGGATTTGAGTTTTTATTTTATGGTTTTGTGTTGTTGAATGTTGAAGTTAAACTTTTACATTACAGTTATAATAATAAAAGTATTTAACGTGAATTTGCCTAAAATTGAGTTTTCCTTTCAGCACAATAAACAAAGTTTTAAGAAATGTATAAATGTTGACACATTTTAAGATCGCATTGCAAATGTCGCTCCATAATTATAATTAATAATTTATAAAAACAATTAATTTCGAATTAAAATTTTCAACAAAAAATTCACATGTATTGTCCTATTAGCGAAAAACACTTTACACGTCCTTACACTACGTTTGACTTGACAATATTAATTAATTGACCATTCACATTTACAGTTATTAGATTGTTATATAAATTTTGGTGTATACAGTTGAGCAGGAAAGCTTGCGTTAATTGCATTAATTGCTACCAAAAATATTTAAACTTTTATAGGTGGTATGTAGACATCGGCATCAACCGCAGCCTTGAAATCCATTCCAATACCCACACACTCATGAAACATTCAATACAGAGAGATATAGAGAAAGGGAATATACTGAGGGTCGCCCATTTATTGGTCGACTTGATCGTTCGCCGCGCGCGCAGCCTGCCAGCCTTCCGTCACTACAGGGTATGTGTGCGCGCCGCACATACAATCGAGTTCTCCGATGATATTAATCGGATATTAATAAAGGTCACGTACACGCTCTATATACTGCTGCTGTGTACCGGTATATGTGTGTAAGCACACTACCGTTGAAAGTGAGGAAGAGCAGCACCAACTCCGTGCATTTGCTGTTAGCCTGATTCGCAATCCGCGACACACGGAGCTCTCGCGTCGACGTTCTTCGCCGTCGAACACCTGCGCGACGTCTTCGACGTCCGCGCTTGCTCTCGCGCAAAAGCCCGGCGATGCAGCGCAGCATAGCGAGTCGTTGACACGCGCCGGAAGACTCCTCACCTGCCCATCAAAAGACGCAGAGTCGTCCGCGCTGGCTAACGCTCGAACAGGCTAACAGCTTCGTCAGGAGCATACCCGGTCCGGAGCGCGCCCGCGCTTTAGCTCGCTCGCCTTGCTCTCTTGCTGATTGCCTGTACGCACGTTTGTGACTGTCAGAGAAATTGGAGACCGTGAAGACTCTTTCAGCCGCACACTCGCAGTTTATCTCGTTTAACATAAAAGATTTTTCAAATTTCTTGTTTGTTTATGCTAATTTAACATATACCATAAGTTGCATACATGAGAACAACTTATATAATTCATCATTATTCCTCTTTACTCAACGAAGTATTCAAACGTTAGAGACCTTTTGCATTTATCAATACGAATAGTGCACCAACTACATGTTGTCAATCAATTCTATGCTGAACAATAACCATTAAGTTTACCTATCATGACTCAATTAAAATTATTTGTATCGATAGATTCGCCAAATTAAGATACAGGATTTTATTCTTTTAACCGACATTATAAAAGTGTTTTATAAAAATCATGTGAGAAACGCTTGCTCTTAATGATTTCTGTTTGCCTGGTGCGGACTTGGCGAAATGTGGACGCCTTTCAAGAGCACTTTTTCTTTGTTATTTTGACCATGCGTGTACGAGGTCTTCTTATGGAATATCGTTCGGTTTTCTTTCATTTTTTTCTCTTAATATGATATTATTCCTTCAAGTGTCTCTTTCATGATCTTAATCCTAATTTCTTTGTACCAGTTTATACTAAAGCAAACCTTATAAGACTTACGAAACTCCAATTATTTATTAAAATTTACAAACACTTTATTACATACTTTTTACTAATAGCACACGTATTTTTGTTAAAACCGTTACAAGTATAAATAATTAGAAACTAAATTGCCAGACAATATAAATGTGTGAGAAATAATAAAAAAGAGTATCGTAAATAATGTAAAAATAGTAGACTATTAACTCTACATACTAATTCCGTGTTTTTTTTAATGCCATCGCCTCTTTTTAAGCTGACCTCGGTGTTTCGCGAGCAGATGGCAGCACTTACAAGGTAGATTAAGATACTGTGAAATAGATTTGTGCAAAATCAGTATTTAAAAAAGCAGCGTAGACTGCAGAGACGCGGCTTTTCTAATCTTCGTCGCTATTCATTACTCTAGTTTGTTTCTTCTGCTGCGAGTTTCGTGGCACCGCAACGTCTTCATCGTCGCTATCTAGTATACGACGTTTTTTCTGTACAGGAGTCTCTGTGTCGCAGTCATTCGAGCGGTTTCTTTTAGTCTCAGCTGTTGAATAAATCAAATAACTATTCAGCAATTAATTCGAAATTGATATTCCATAAAAATGAAGACATCTTACGAAAAAGTTTATCAATAGCTTGTAAAGCTTTTTCAGCTTCTGATTCCGAATCCGAGTCGACAATTTTACGTATCCTCCTGGACTTGGAGTTTTCGCTTTGAAGAGTGATCTTCGTTTGAGCCTTGACTTGTGATTGACACTCCGTGTCCATTTTTTCATTCTCCGAATCTGAATCAAATATTCGCTTTGATCTGGCTGACTTATCTGTTTAACGAGAAAGTATGATAACAATTGTGCAAAGTATAATGAAATCCGGTGTTTTACCTTCACTTGAGTCACCAATGATAGTTTCATCGTTTTGTGCTCTCAAAGATTTTTCTACATCGTCCTCCGAATCGGAAGAACCAACTACACTTTTGATTCGTTTAGATTTGGGCTCTTTTAAACACGTAGAAAAAATATAATAAATTAATGTTTTTCAACGGAAAATTAAAAAAATATATTATTTAAGATTACCTTGCGACTGAGACAAATATTCATTATTCACGTCGTTGACGTCCTCTCGAAAGTTCGATGTAACACTATTTTCAGACGCCTTCGTTTGTTTTTCGTCGAAACCATTAAGTTGCGATGTAATTTGGTCTCTTTTCAGTTGACTATTTGCTAATAGATGATAAATTTATCAATTAATTGACAGGTTGTGACACATGTGTACTCGACTCTAACATTAAACTTACTATTTCGAGACATTTGAGAAGTAATATTTTCTACTGTACCAAAGTCATTTGATGCCGGGCATTGCTTCTTGAAATAATTAGACTTACCTGCAATAAATGCAAATTACATTTTCATAGTAAAAATATAGCCGTATTATTTGACTTACCATTTGTAAGATTTTCCTTCTCTATATCACAATCTTTATCAAAAGTAGAGTTTTCACTATCTTCGTTAAAATATTTACTATTGGATTTCATTGGTGTGTTTATAGCAGAAGTGGATAGTTCAGCTTCTTCTTCAAAGATAAAGAAAAAGTTTAGAGTCAATCTAAATGTTCTAAACCAGCTAACTTTTATAAATATATATTATTACTGTCTGAATCGTTGTTGACGTCCTTTTGTAGGTTATTATACTGCCTCAGTTTTTCAAAGATATCATCATCGTCACTAGACTCATCATTTTTTACAGCTGGAGCTGCGGATGAACAAAGCAATCACTAGGAGTTATATGTCCATAATAATTAATATTTTCTGATTAAACGTTTACCAACCTTCTTCAATAAAATCTCCTTTCAGTGCAGCATCAATAATATCGATACGCTTTTTAATAGTGGTGACGAGCATAGTGGCAGGAATACGCCAGTAAGTTTCCTCTAAGTTCGGCGCGTGCATACCAGATCCATGCAGGAATCGTTGGAAACTCGGCGAATCCATAGCAGTCGATGAGTTTGCTGTGAGCGGCACCAATGCTATACCTTCGTTACTCTCTTCGTCTCGATCTTCCAGTGAGTCCTCTAGGGACTCCTTCAGCCACTCCAATGATTCGCGCATGCCTAAGCGGACCGCGTTGAGATTAGGATGTATTATGAAAATTGAAAGTTTCAAAGGTGAACGCTTTAAAGAAATTGGCATCTTGGGATACTTTGGTATTTTACTATAGGGAGCTTAATTTACTTTTGTTTGAAAGCAGGTTATAAATACTATAATTGCTGTTTCATACCGCAGAATTTTTTACAGCGAGCTCGTGGCTTTTTTTTTACTTACCATTGCCGATGATTTCTTTTAACATTTGCGACAACTGCGCATCGGTATAAGCGATCACAGGTTCATTTTTCTTGTTGGAGCCTTGTTTTCGCTTTTTTTGCTTTTTATTTCTAATTGCGGAACTGTGGGAAGCTCTAGTTCCATCAGAATCGTCCGACTCTCGATCCGAATCATCATTTTCATCTTCACTCGCTGAACGCGTCTCCCAAGAAGATTTTGCCCCTTGAAAGTTCAAAAGCTTATTTGCTATAAGATCATGTCATCTTTTGAGAAACTTGCTTATTAAACATGAATATCTCCTCTAACACTATATGAAAAATAAGCATGCAAGCTTGAAAGGCGAGAGAGAGAGAGAGGGGGGGGGGGGAGAACGGGTGGAGGCTGCACTTTAGTCTACGATCAAAGTGAAGAAAAAACATCAGGAGCGATTGGCTATTGGACGATGAATCTTGGGAAGTGTGTTAGAGGTGGAAGAAGAAAATTGCTGGTACATACTTCGATATATTCGTCTGTCTGTCTGATAGGTGGTTGCATTGCATACAAACAAGGTGTACGCGAGCGAGAGAGCGGAAAACAATTTCTATGATAAATATGCAGAGGCTGCGTGCATTGTGAGCAGAGAATAAGAGCGTTTGATATGCTTCCGTAAGAGATAGAACTTGAATCCATGCTCTATCGACCTATCGACTTGGTTTTTCTATGGGAAAATATTGCTTCTCGCCCGGTCGCTCGCTATATCGAGCTGTAAAGTAAGATGTTTATTTTGCGACGGGATATTTTTGGATTTTATTTCGTTCTGCCTGGCGATATTTTCATTGCTATTTCGACGCTGAGAATGCATTGGAAATGCATCGATTTTTTGGCGCCAGAGCTAGAAGCTTATTTTTATCAAGTGTGACATTTACCAAACAAATATTCAAACGAAGTTAAGCTTTTGCCAGTAACTGAGCTCTTCGTGAAAATTTCATGTTCAGCTGTCTATCCAGGCTAATGGTTTTAAAGTGTCAAAACATGGGCAGTTATTTTAGGAATTGTAAAAACCAACATTTCGTAGCCGGTTCATTGTGTGTCGCGACAAAGAGAGAGAGAGAGAGAGAGAGAGAGAGAGAGAGAGAGAGAGAGAGAGAGAGAGAGAGAGAGAGAGAGAGAGAGAGAGAGAGACGAGATTTACACGCACGAATAGCGTACGCGAAACGCAGCAACGACTGAGAGGAGCGTCATTGTATCAATCGCCGACGCTAGGTTAGCTGGCACGCTGTCCGTTTTGTCGCTGGCTGATGTATACGCGCAGTCGCGTCAACGCATTTCGGGCTCATTGTGGCCATGCCAGCAACAAGAGCGCGAGCGAGCGAAACATCCAGCGACAGTTTGGTGGAAAACAGAGGGACAGGCGCGTGCGAGCATTCGGAATCAATCGAGCGATGAAATTAATTCAATGATCATTGGCTTTTGTTTGCTATCTTTTTCCTGTACGGGCGCGAGCTTTGTTGAGATAATCTGCTGTACGTACCGGTGCTCTTTCTGCTGCGTTTCTTTCGCAACTGTTTCGGGTCTTCCACCATCTGTAGCTCCAATAACTTTTCTTTAATTTTCAGCTTGGAGCGTTTGATTCGCAGACCGTCGTAAATCCAACCAACGGGATCTGAAAGCCAAGTGGCAATTTTATTCAGACGGCAAAAGCGAAAATTGCATCGGACCAAATGAATAAACGCGAAAAAACTTATTCTGACCATCTTCATCCTTCGCACTCTGCCAGAGCTCAGCCAGCTGTTCCTTTTCCTCTTCGGACCATTCCTTTGGCAATCTCTTTTGAATTTCGCTTCGAACGCCCTGTAAAACGAATTTCATCTTTAGTATCTCACTTTATGCAGCGAAATGTCCTTTCCATGAGCTCAACATGAGCTTGCTCTGTAGAGTAAAAATCCAACTAAATATCCTATCAAAAGAAGTATGCAAATGATAATGTAGAAACTATAGCTAACACGGTTAGAGCATAGCTTCCTCACCCACATCCCGGGGCAATGGAAATGGCGCATTGCTAAATTACAGGGCTCAATCGATATCTGCTGTGCACCGATTAACAAAATGATAGCAAAAAAACGTATTTTGCTAATCGTCCTTCGCTATTTTTACGCTTGAAATGTGTATGCTAGAGCGAACATTTCAGCTGGCTCACAAATAACGAAACTCAGCTTGGCTAACAAAAAAGCGCTCGCGAGTTGTGGTTATATACCAATTAAAATGTACGAACACGAAGTAGATAACGGACTTTTCAAAGTGGAATTAGTCTGACTATTTTTTCGCTCGTGTAGGAACGACTAATTTACATCCGTTTCAAAGGTCGCAAAATTTTAAATAAAACGCAGCTTGGAAACTCAGCCGTTCGGTGCAAAATTGCATAATTGACTGCTGAAATAAAATAAATTTGAAAAGAAATGTCGAGACTTAAATTAGCGATTCCAGAAAAAGGAGCTGTAGCTTCGACCAATCGAAATGGAACAATTGAGCAATCTGAAAAGTTGAGGAGAAAAGTAAATAAAAATCGCAGCACAGCCACAAGTTTTTCAGCTGTGACACCTCGAAAGCTACAAACTATCCGTAGAGAAAATAAAGCTGCTGCGCGAATAGTCGGCGGACGTAAAGAAGAAAAAAAAAAGAAAATATGCCCCGCCAGGGAAATCTAGGAAAAGTCTCTATTTTATCGGCGCGACATAGGTACACTCGTGAAAACACATGATAATTGAACGCATCAAAGCAACAGTGCACATCGACACATCGACGCATCGTCTCTCTATATCTCTCTTGCCCCAGCTTCAAATTTGCGGCTTCGCTCTTCCCCCTCCTCATCTGAGCGTTTTTAATCCTAGTTGTTTTCAATTGCCACTGCTCATTTTACGGGCATCCGAGATATCGATTTGCGTCGAAGCTACTCGAGCACCAGCTTACGAGCTTTGATGATGTGCAACAAGCGAACAATGAACTGTACGGTACGATAAAAAATTACCTTGGAATTGACGATTAGACACATCTCTTTCAGTTTCCTTATAATGGCTCGCCTTGTGCGCGTTTGATTGATCAGACTAGCCTGGATAAAGTTGATTACATCTGAAACGAAATATTCGAAGTATAAAATATTTTGTCAATAGTAATAATTATTCAATGTTACTTATTTTCATAAGCTGTGAGAGCATTGTTTGGCAAAAATGAGTTAGTGAAAATGATTGACGTGATACGGGTCATCGGACGTAGACGTTATTCGATGTTCGTTAGCAAGCTCAAAATTGGTGAGCATAATTTTTGCAAAACAAGATACAAACGAGCTTCCTTCCGTCTAGCCGTCTGAAAAACTTTGAAGCAAGCCCATCAAAAGAGCGAAATACGAGCAAGTCTCGCGTACATCCCAAACAATATCTCGCTTACATTTTCATTTTACAGCGACACTAACCCCGATAAGCCGGCTACACTTTTTTACGGCTCCCTTTTGCACGACGGGCAAATGAAGCCGGCAAAACGAGAAACATAAAAAAAACGAGAGAGAAGAAAGTCGGCGAGGACGGGGGTGTAGCAGCTAAATCAAAAAATTAAGTACCCACCCTGCGGATATTTGTTGGTTTGATGCTCCATAAACAGCAGCCTTAACTCGTCCTCCTCTTGCTCGGTCCACGCATTCTTGGATGCTTTCTTGTTGTTAGCGTGTTCGACATCGTAACCGTCAGTCATCTCGACTGCCTGCTTTGTTGACTTCCAGAACAGCAGTTCCATGTAGGCCTTTGGATTACGCGATGCCACCTCGGCGAAACTGCGGAATACGTGACGACCAAATGCCGCCAATTCCTGAGAATTTCAAATATGCGAATTCAACTTGTACGGGAAAAAGGGGGAAAGGGGGAAAAAGGGGGAAAAGGGGGAAAAGGGAGAAAAGGGTGGGGGGGGGGGGGAAGGAACGAAGCGCAGACGATTTTTCACCGCGAGATTGAAGTTGTTTTTATGATGCTGCTCTCTGCGAGAAGGCGATAGGGTTTTTAAGGACTTTTGACGAGTTGCAACGTGAATTTGACGTGGCTTTATTTAAAAGTTTCATACTTTTACATGAAAATGCTCGTGGATTGGATTGCGTGTGGCTCAAGCTGGCAATTCTTTCAACATTTATACGAATTATTCTTTAATCAACTGGCAATGACAGTCGATACGTAGCCATTGTTACGCTTGTGAAAGAACTTGGCCACTCGGGGAAATGAAAGTTTCGAGACAAGCCAAAATCGTCAACGTGAAATTAACTTTGAGCAATTAGACAGCTGTCTCTTCACGTTCATCGGATCATTCTAAAATTATTTAAACAGACTAACCTGGTGAGCGCGTTCATTAGACCGGAATAGTCTTTGGAAAACTCGGAATATGGAGGCTTGGTACATCATCGCTGTCATTTTACACTCGAAAGAAATTCGATGGAGAATTTTTAGGACGTAGTAATTGACCTCCGGTGCGTTCTTCTCAAATTGCTTTAGCAAAATATTCAGATTACTGACAACTCGCACATTTGCAAATCTGCAAGAGGACCAAGACAATGAGTAATGTTGTTGCATCGTGTTGAGCAACAACAAAACTATAGGTTCAAGGCTCACCGCTGCATAAAATCCATAAATTTGAAGCTGGACTCTTTGAATCGTGCTGTTTCTGCTTCTTCGTTTTCCTCGCTGTCGGCCTCTTCTGCAAATTCATTATTACTTATCACTAACGAGCTGCCTACCGAAATCGAAGGGCTTACCAAACACTTGTCGGCAGAGAAAGCAGCTAAGACAGTACGTACCATCACAGTTAAGTTGACTTTGGATCTGATTTCCATCGTTAGCCTGACTGCGAGAGGCTGCCACGGCTGTTTCATCTGCAACTGATAAGAAGGTCTCGGCATTGGTACAAGCGGTCACGCGAACAACGGCATCCCTCGAATATAACCGCGCGAGAGATTAATTATCGTTCTTTCGACTTCCGCAAACTTGCAGTGGGATCAACGAAGCGGCGCAGCAAAGTGGAAAGGAAAGGCTCTCGTAAAAAACTGAATTGAAGTGCAATCCGCTTGCCATAGCTTAACAGCTTTAGCGTCACCGAATGAATTCCTTTTAATTAAGGGCTCCCCGAGAAAAGAAGATTAGAGGCGCACGCGTGATGACTGCGCACGATGAACGGGATGGCCGGGCTCTTGGGTAATAGAAAAATAAATCGACGGAAGAAGCGCTCGGCCGCTAACTGACTTGTCCTCGTGTCCTCGTCACAGAAGATTTTCTCCTTTATTTTAGCTGCGTGTTTTTCAAGCTCCCCTTTGTGTTATGGTTCATCCATCCGAAAAGTTGCAGCGCTCACACGGATTTGGATTCCGACGTTGGCGCCCATTATCGCGGCCGACGACAGAAGGATGCAGCAAATGAGCGAATCGCTTGGACTGGTGCGCCTCTAACGGTAACAACGTCACTTGCAGAAAAAGCTTAATCGGTCGAAAGCACAATCGAGGGCCAAGGCCAAAAGGCAATCCCCGAAAGCCACGGAAGTTGCCATTAGATTAAAGGAGGGAGAGCGCCAAACTCTGGCCAACTGTGGCCCGCGCGAGCGACTTTTCATAATCCCGGCGGGCCGACGCGGCGGCCTCTCGCTCCTTGCTACGTACATTAGAGCCATCAAGAGGCGCTTTTGCTTCCTCGCGCCACGCCACCGCTGCCAGTGCTTATTACGGCAATTAACAAGCCGCGCTCTCCGCGTACGTGGGCAAGATGTAATCGCCAAAGAGAGCGACGATAAACCGAGCGAGCGCTGCGCTTCGAGGCTTTAATGTACTTTTAATGCGCGAGACTGAGACGAGATTGAAGAGATTGAAGGGGCCAGCCAGCGTTTCGAGTAAGCGCATTCGCTCTCGCGCGCGTTGGGCGCGCGTTGGGCGCGCGTTGGGCTCTCGTTGGGCTCTTCTTGCTACAAGGCTTTTTGGCTTTTACAGCCTGCCGGGATCAGGACAGCACAATGCTGCGGCGCTTTAACGCTGATTAGCTGCTGCCCTGGCTTCGTATTCGCACGCCGTGGACGTTATTACGTTTGCCGATGCGCCATCCGTGCATCTGCGTTCGGCTGGCCCGCGGATTTCTCCTATCATTTTCACGATTAATTAGCGCAACGGATGATGTTGCATTCAACAACGTCCATCAGACGTGACCATTAATGCCGCTACAATACGTGCCTCGGCAAGTTTATCGTGAGAACGAGATTAATATGCCATCCCTACCCAATCGGACGTTGCCTTCGTTACTTTTCGCCGCCCTTTCTCTTTGTCCACGCCAGAACAATGGCCTGCAGCGCAGTTGGCAGCCCAACCCACTAGACTGATGTCGAATGAGCTAACTTTGCCATTGCGCCGTCGCGCCGTCGCGCCACCACTCGTTAGAACATCCTTGCGGGCTGCTTTCGTCAAAAGTGCGACAGTCGAAACTTAGGCCCGATCCTTGATGCTATTTAGCCAACTTTTCTTCGAGCAGCAATGAACGAGCGAGCACAGGCGATACAACCGACGAGGAAGTGATTGGACAACGAAATCGAAAAACGACGAGAGTATTGGCACAACAATACCGACTCCACTCAGATGCGTTGATGAAATTTAGCAAGTATTGTCAGAGCCACTACCATCTCACAAATCTCACAATTAGCCTCGAACATCCTCTAAAATAGGAGGTATCGTGTGGGAAGAGAAGCCAGCAAGTGGATGTAAAATCGGTTCACGAGATAAAGACAGGGAAAGATCCTGGGCAAAAGTTGAACACCTTAATGCGCCGCCCGGGCCGCCCGGGCCGCCCGGGCCGCGGCGAAACTCGCGCGCGCCAAGATTAAGCAGATAAAAGCGCAAAAACTTGGCGACGTGGCTTTTCTTTCTTTTGTCTTTTGTTCGGATACGAGGTCTTAATTGTGTTGTACGCTTTTATCTCTCGCCGCTTTTATTGTCTTCTGCCGGTCCAGGCTTAATTGCGTTAGATACGAGGTTGCCGGCCTCATTATGGAAATCGACGGTATGTCCGTTAATTCGTTTACTCCGCTCTTACTTTGAAGCGACAGTACATTGTGAGGCAAGCACAGAAATTCCCTAGACTTAATTGAATTGAATGGGAATAGCCGGATTACTGCTTAATTGATGAAGCTACGTGGAAACGAATGAGCATGCTTAGTTGGGATCTTCTTGGGAACTTGCAACTCGTCCGCAAAGAAGCAACAGCGAAAAACCTCGAGATACCTCGGCTCGTCGTTGCTTGTGCGCGATCCCCGAAACGGCCATCCAGGCGTTAAGTCACTTCGATGAAGCTATCGATAAAAACACGATAGCGGTGAATAAAATAAAATCAATGCGACTTGCCCCTAGCACCAACTTGAATTTTCTCTCTCTCTCTCGCTTTTTTCAGCTAGAAGTCTGGCGCAACGCACGGACTCCAATATCGCCAAGCACGTACGGACCCTTTTACTTCCTTCGAGCAGTAGTCCGGCAAACGTTGTTCGCCAATTTGCATATTGACGTCGCTTGCTGCTAGACCTTTCCGGTCACTTATCCAATTGAAATATTAGTGCGCGAGTCCGCGTGCGCGTGTGTGTGCAAGAGATAAGCAAACAAAGTTTGTAATGACTGTTACTGCTCCGCTTTGCAACGCGCGTCGCAGCTCTTGATTCAATTAAGGTAATAAGAGGCTTATATTTGAACGCAAGTTTCCGAAACTTACAACAGCCCACATACACATTCTTAAAGTTAAGCAAATATTCATAAGTCGGTGTGAAATTACGTTGGCTAGTTTATTTTAGTACTTACCTAGCCGTTCCCTTGCCCTTTCCACTGACAGTTAATTAATTCGCTAGCTCGCGCATCTACTTGTTTAATCGTGAGCTTTTGCCTGGGATGACGCGATGACGCGTTGACGTGTGCCTTTGCACTCGCACTCGCTGCTGGATGCGCACTAATGGACGCGGCGGAAACAAAGTGGGCAGCGTTATCGATCGAAATGGCGCAATGCACAAATGAATAAAAATACCGTAAGAAAGAGGCCGTTGAAAAGAAGCAAGGGAAAAAATAAATGAGAATATCGGTAAAAGTAGACAAACGTGCCAATTAAAGAGCAAAGAGCACAAAAGCGAGCGCGCGATTCGGCATAAAGAGCCTCGCGGCGTTCGCGTCAAGAACAGAGAACGAGCGAAATAGACCGTTAATTCTTCTCACTTTTCAATAAACTCTCTTGGCGTTCGACTTGCTGCAGGCATTCAGTGCCAATTCCCTCTCCGCGGTACATAGACGCGCGCGAAATCACGTACGGAGAGCAGAGCAATTCGCCACCGCCGCCGCCATGCCTCTTCAATAATCATAACGCCGTGAAAGGAACAGGAAACTCTCCGAGCCATACACGCGGATGCGCGAGCAAAGCACAAAAGCTTGCCGTTGCGCGCTAATGACGTGATCGATATGTGCTCTTCCAACCATCGTGGCTTCGATGCTTGCAATTACTCGAGCTGAAGGATAACGACGCGCGCGGCTTGCACTCGCTTTTTCCTCTTTTCGGCAGCACTCGACTCACTCGACTTACCCTCGTAAGTTGTTCGTTCGTTCTTTTGCTGGACGAATCCGTAGCTAGTTCGTCAAATTTCACGCGACCTAAAGTCCAGTGGCTGTTCCGCCAAAGTAGTTATCTATCCGAGAGCCAATGGAGCCTGCAGCATAGATGAATTATTTATCGTGATGCGCGCTATCGATCGGTCTGCACTTTCGTCGAGGGTGCGAGCACGTGTAAAGGGCCGAATGACAAAGGAGGATAACGGCAATGGATTAGCTTCATGCCCAATGTTTATCAGGGATGCGTTCGTCCCGTGATAATGGCCATTGCCGCTCGACGGTTAGCTCGATCAAAGTTTCTCTCGCTCTCCCTAATGGTCGGGATTGGCTCATCGCAATGCTATGGGGCTGAAGCTAGTGACGCGTGCTCGCTATGGGCGCCGACCGCTGACCCATCATTTATTTCTCCACTACGTCACGCCGTTTCTTCATTTATTCTCGTGTTTCTCATGTTTTCCTCTTTGCCATTTATCGAATGGTTTCTTCCTCAGGTCGTCAGGTCCTCAGGTTTCAGGCTCATCGTCTTACTTGCTCATTTTTATATTCGTTGTTTCGATGATGCATCATTAGCAGGACTTTTCGTATCATCGATAATGCGATCAAAATTATACATTCGTTTGGCCATCAGACGAAAATTGGCTTGTGTAAAGTCATGAAATAATTCATGAAAACCTATCGAAAATCTACTGGTCACACGTAGTTTTTTATAAAAAGAAAAAAAGAAGAGTGTTCATCGAAATACCGATAATCCATATATGCCGGAGCGACGAGCGAACAGTCACGAAAAGAGAAATAACAAGGGTGATTCTCTCTCTCTCTCTATCTCGTGGGCTACAATGGCCAAGAGACAGTTATAGAGCCACGGCGAAAGTGGCCAGCGTGGATTCGGTCCACGTATGCGCCGCTTATCTCGCGCAACCCAACGGTCATCGACGCGCAACAAACCGTCATTAGTGGGCACGGCTTGTTCTCTCGCTTCGATGTATTCCACAGCCGTACGTTGCAGCTTTTTCCTGTCGTCGTTGTTGCCTGACCATTTCGCAATTGAACTACTTGAAATGAAGATTTTTTTTTTTTCGATTGGGCGCGCTGACCGTCGACTGCGAGTTTGAGTAGGAATGGCGAGTACGGAAAGAAAGATTTTCACTCAGACGTGGGAACGAATGAGTTGGGCATCGAGAATGACGGTGCGGAAAATAGCTGCACTGCGCGCTGTACTGGGTGAGCGATAATTGCATAGTAAAGTACCATTGCAGCCGCATAGCCGCTGA